CGGAAGTTTGAATTCTTGGATGGAACGATTGTCTCTCCATCACCTCCGTGTACGAAGTCTGATTGGACAGCAATCAATGCTATGCTTATTTCTTGGATCACAAATACCATTGACAATAGTTTAAAAACCACCTTGTCTAAATTCAGGGAGGTGAGACTTCTCTGGGAACATCTCAAACATAGGTTTGCTCAGACCAATGGTTCTCGCATTCAACAACTTCGTTCATTAATTGCACGTTGTGAGCAAACAAAGAACATGACCGTCTCTGATTACTACGGCAAACTACACACACTATGGCAAGAATTAGATAGGCACGAACCTTTGATTTCTTGCTCTTGTTGTATGACGTGCACCGCCGGCACACAACACGAAGCTCGCCGTTCACAACGCCGGCTGCACGAGTTTCTGATGGGGTTGCATCCCGATCTCTACTCTTCGTTGTGAACCCAAATTCTTTCTCAAGACCCCCTACATAATTTAGATCGGGCCTATCAATTGGTGGTTCAAGAAGAACGTGTTCGTTCATCCAAACCGGAACCTGATTCTACGGTTTCTGATGCAGCAGGCTTTGCCGTTCATGCTGGTGTAGAGGCGACGTCAGGAGCAACGCGAGGGCGAGGCCGGACCGCCGATAAACCCACCTGTGCTCGTCGCTGGAGAACTGGGCATGAAACTGCAAGCTGCTGGGCAGATATAACTTGTACGTTTTGTAAAAAGCAAGGCCAACCAAATACTCATTGCTTTGATATTGTTGGCAGGCCGACCAACAAGAAACAGGCCCAGGGCCGTGGACAGGCCCGCGCTAATGCAGTAGTCAGCCAGCTTCGTCTAGCAATCCCCCTTTGAGCTCTCTTTTTACTCAAGATCAATGGAAGGCCATCGCGGGCCTTATTGGTAATTCTCAAATCCTGGAAAATCGCTTGACCGGTAAGTTTGATACCTCTTCTTGGATCATCGATACCGGAGCTACTCATCATGTTACCGGAAATAATTCTTGGTTATTTGACACCCAAAAATTCGATTGCCCGATTGGATTACCGAATGGTGCAAGAGTGGTAGCTACTTTGATGGGTTCTATTTCTCTGTCTGATAACATAACTCTGACCGGAGTTCTCTATGTCCCAAACTTAAATTGCAACTTACTCTCTGTCTCTCAACTTAATGATGATTTACAAACCATTGTCCAATTTGATTCTAATAGTTGTGCTATACAGGACCAAACGAAGGAGCTGATTGGAACGGGAATTAGGAGAGATGGACTATACTATTTTAGCAAACCGAACTTTGTGTCACGCATAGAAGCTACATCAAATTTGGAGTTATGGCATCGGCGTCTTGGACATCCTTCTGAAAGAGTGGTTAAGTTACTTCCTCATCTTACTAGTAATAAAGATCATTTAGATATTGGCTGTGAAGTATGTATGTATGCTAAGCATCCGAGAAATAAATTTCCTTTGAGTGATAATAAAGCGTCTCGTATATTTGAGAAAATACACTGTGACTTATGGGGTCCATATTGTCACACTTCGTCATGTGGGGCTTGTTATTTTTTTACTATTGTTGATGATTTTTCTAGAGCTGTATAGATTTATTTGTTGGTAGATAAATTAGAAGTTTTTCTAATGTTCATGTCCTTTGTTGCCATGGTTGATAGACAATTCTCTCAAACAATTAAGGTAATTCAAAGTGATAATGGGACCGAATTCAATTGTTTGCTTGACTACTTTAAAGCCACAAGGATTTTATTTCAAACATCTTGCGTGGGTACCCCTCAACAAAACGGTCGGGTAGAACGGAAACACAAACATATTTTGAACGTTGGGAGGGCCTTGAGGTTTCAAGCTAAGTTGCCTATTTATTTTTGGGGAGAGTGTGTTCTCACTACTGCCCATTTGATAAATCGCACCCCATCTCCCCTATTAGAGAATAAAACTCCTTTTGAAATTTTGTTTAACAAAGTTCCATCGTTCGATGACATTAAAACGTTTGGATGTTTATGCTTTGCTCACAATCAATACACTAAGGGTGATAAGTTTGCTAGTAGAAGTAGAAAATGTGTCTTTGTGGGATACCCGTTTGGCAAAAAGGGGTGGAGATTGTTTGACCTAAATACTAAGGAATTTTTTGTCTCCCGAGAGTGAAATTTGTTGAGGAGATCTTTCCGTTTGGAAGCCTGGAGGTTGCTAATATCCATCATCAAGAATATGATGATCATCCCGTTCATGAGGATTTTGCAGAAATTAATAACGACAGTTTTGAAAATACTGGACCAGAAGAGGAAGTCCAAACTTCTTCCTTGCCCAATTCGGAGCCCAGTCCAGCTCACGCTCAGCAGCTAGGATCGCCAGATGGGCCGTCTTCTGAGCCCAGCGCCTACTCTGATGGGTCGTCCTCTAACGGGACTCAGCCCAGCTCCGAATCGGATGGTGTGCCAGGGCCTGTCTCTTCACTTGGGCCGCTTTCTCTGCCCACGATGCTGCCTGATGGCCGTGATGGGGAAGCTCCGCCTTTTCAGCCCATTGACACATCTTCTCTTGATACCGAGTCTTCTAACCCACAATTGGGTCGTGGTTTTAGGCAGAAAATTCCCAATGTCAAGCTTCGTGATTTTGTGACACATACGGTTTTTGCTAAAAGTCCTCTCTCTTCCTCTTCCAATCACTCCTCAGGTACTCCTTACCCCTTAGCACATTACATTAATTGTGACAATTTTTCTGTGAATTATCAAAAATTCCTTGCAGCCATTGTTAAGGGTAAACACCCTAAATCTTTTAAAGAAGCAATGAGGTTTGATGGTTGGTGTCAATCTATGAAAGAAGAAATTCGTGCTCTAGAGGACAATGGTACATGGACTTTAGAGCGCCTTCCTCCTGGTAAACGTGCTCTTGGTAGTCAGTGGGTTTATAAAACCAAATATTTGTCAAATGGTGAGGTCGAGCGTCTAAAATCAAGACTAGTGGTTTTCGGCAATCATCAGCAAGCTGTAATTAATTATGAAGAAACTTTTGCTCCTGTCGCAAAAATGACTACAATTCAGGCTTTTCTTGCCATAGCAGCTTGCAAAAATTGGGAGTTACATAAAATGGATGTTCATAATGCTTTCCTTCATGGTGATCTAAATGAAGAAGTCTACATGAAACTCCCTCCCGGGTTCGAGTGTTCGGATCCAACTATGGTGTGTAGGTTGCACAAGTCCTTATATGGTCTAAAGCAAGCCCCTCGTTGTTGGTTTGCAAAATTAGTTTCGGCCTTGAAAAAGTATGGCTTCTTGCAATCTTACTCTGATTATTCTTTGTTCACATATACTAACGACAAATCTCAAATAAATGTCTTGGTTTATGTGGATGATCTTATTATTTCTGGGAATGATTCCGCTACACTTAAGGTTTTCAAGTCCTATCTTATTGATTGTTTCAAGATGAAGGATCTCGGGCCTCTTAAATATTTTCTAGGGATTGAGGTAGCTCGTAGTTCTTTGGGGTTATTTTTGTGTCAACAAAAATATACCCTAGATATCATTTCTGAAGCCGATTTACTAGGTGCAAAGCCTAGTGGGTTTCCTATCGAGCAAAACCATAAACTCGCCCTTTCATCCGGCGAATTGATGGAGGATCCCGAACCATATCGGCGCCTAGTAGGTCGCCTCATCTACCTTGCAGTGACTAGACCGGACTTAGCTTATTCGGTTCACATCTTGTCACAATTCATGCAAACCCCGCGCACAGATCATTGGGAAGCTGCTTTGAGGGTGGTCCGTTACTTGAAAGGCACTCCCGGTCAAGGAATATTGTTGTGTTCTGATAGCGAGCTAGCATTGGAAGGATGGTGTGATTCAGATTGGGCGGCGTGTCCTCTAACTCGTCATTCTCTAACAGGTTAGCTAGTATTTCTAGGCAAATCCCCGATTTCTTGGAAAACAAAAAAGCAGGATACAGTTTCTAAATCCTCTACAGAGGCAGAATACAGGTCTATGTCAGGAGTCACTTGTGAGTTAAAGTGGCTTAAGGCTTTATTATTGAGTCTAGGAGTACAACATCCTAAGGCTATTAAACTATTTTGCGACAGTCAATCAGCTTTGCATATTGCGAAGAATCCAGTCTTTCATGAGCATACGAAGCACATAGAGGTTGATTGTCATTTTGTTCGTGATGCGATAACCGAGGGTTTGATTTCTCCTCATCATGTGCCTACTACATCTCAATTGACAGATATTTTCACAAAAGCCCTTGGGAAAGCTCAGTTTGATAATCTTCTTTCCAAGTTGGGCATTTATGACTGTCATGCTCCAACTTGAGGGGGGGTATTAAGATATATTTAGGGATATTTGGATAATATTAGGATTTATCTTTTCCTAGTTTATCTAGGTTTTCCTAGAGTTTAAGATAGGGTAGGAAACCTTATTGATTGTATTATAAATAGATTGATTATGTGTTAATGGAAATCAAGCAAAGTTTATTCACAATTCATAATTCTACAAATGGTTCTTAAATGTTGAGCATATAATTCGAAGACTACAAAAATATTTGTAACATTATTAAATATTTATGAATGTCTTTTCCATTCTGATTAAATATCATACGTGCTACTCATCGTCTCATCCTATTACCATATGATTTTGGCCACGATGGAACATCCTTGTATTTATGATGAAGTGGATATTTTTCCTTGATAACGGATGCAACTCATATCCATATTTAATAATAATTGATGACATAATATATATATATATATATTATTTATGAATCAATAGAGTGTCCGTTATAATTTATTATTTAATTATTCACAATCACAATGTGCACCATAATAATGCTAAATTTTATATGAATTGGTTTTTTTCAATCTCCTCTCTCAATAGATGGATTAATACATTCAATACGATATCAAAACGGATTTATTGAAACAAACATAGATTATTATATTATTAAAGAAATTGTAACAAACACCTAAAAGGTGTTTTAATTTAATATTATACGATTACATTGATTAAATTAAAAAAACGTTCAATGTTTACCACCAAACGCCTTCTTAAGCTTCTTGACTTGGTTATCATCAAGAAGCATGGTTTTAACCGCAAGATCAGTAGGGAAATTCCCAGCAAAGAGAGAATTATCGATGAATTGAAGCCCCGGCTTCGCGCTATTCAAGGTAACGAATGCAACCGCCGGAGTTTTACCAACGTTAAGTTGGAAGTGCAAGAGTGATTGTGGGAAAACCATAATATCACCAACTTTGAGTTTCTTGTAATAAGCTGTGTTACTGGTGGAAATGAATCCAGCAATAATTTCACCTTGAGCCAATACAAGAACCTCGGAGGTACGGTGCACATGCAACGCTATAACTCCATCTAAGGCGAAGTCTAACCTGGCCATGGCAAGCCCTAGACCGTTGAAGGCCGCAAATTCGGAGGAAAATGCCGGGGTAACGAATGCCTTGTAAATGTTTTTTGTGTCTCCCGGGGCACTTAGCCCCGTGAAAACAAAATCATCAAATGTGACTTTAGCGGAATTTTTACAAGAGTACCCTGCTGGACCGCTAGGGAGAGTGTAATCCGCGACACAAAAGTCTTCGACAATTTGTGCTTGAGAAATGATAGAAAAAAGAGACAAAAGGAGGAAAATTGCAAAATATGTCATTTTTTTTTAGGACTAGAGAATTTGCTAATTACTTCAAAGAGTATTAGAAGTATTTGTTTTTTGGGTTTTTTTGATGGAGTATTTAGGAAAATGTTGGTCCTTTATATAGATGAAGAGTGGTAGGGTGACAAGGATAGAAAAAAGGTTAGGATATGCATGGTTGCTTTCACATTGTAATTATGGTAAGAAATCAAACTTGTTTTTTTTTATTTTTTATTATTTATTTATTACTTCCTCAAATTTATGATAATTGACCCATTTGGACTTTTTCATATTATATATTTTAGCGTTGAATATATTTTTTTACGAACATATTATTAAAAAATTCAATAAAGTGTTGTCAAAAAGATATTGATATAAATTTTCATCGTATTAACTTTTTATAATTATTACTAATGTTTAATTATTTATAGTTAAGGTCAAATTAGTACATTGACAAGTGTGTCAAATTAGACTGTATCATTATTTTGAAATAGAGGGAGTAAGAGGAAAATTTTAAATTTGCTCTTTTTTTTTTCTTTCATCAAAGGAGGAATCAAAATATTCTGATTTACTTCTATAAATGAAAATATATAAAAGAAATCAAAAATCAATACAAATGTTATACTAGTAAAGCTATGAGATTTTCATCTACGTTTACTTGTTATTTCCTGCATTTCAAGTGTGACTTTTAACACTAATCACAAACTCTACTTTGCTTAGCTTTTAGGATTTATAGATAAGATAAGAAAAATAGTCATGTGAGATCTTGTTAGATTCATCTCAATGTGTGCTTTCATTATATCAACTTTTTATAATTTTTACTTATTTATAATGGAAATATTATTTAAGATCGAATGTATGCATTAGCAAACGTGTTAAATAAACGTGTCAACTACTTTGGAACGGACCTAGTAACTATATATTAATCTTAGTTTTACATAATAATAAAACTAACTGTACTAGCTAATTGAAACATGTCTTTTGCTAATACACAATGTAAGTATTGCTTATTAAATGAGATATCTTAATCTCATCCACCTCTTGTAAAGTTGTATGAGATCTTATATATCAAATAGGATTACTACAACGTCAACAAGACTCGTTTTGACTTTTAATACTATTAACACCCTCAATTATAACTAGATCTTGTGATCTTGTTAGAATCCTACCAATGTGTATTTTCAAACAATCAACTTTTAATAATTTTTACTTATTGATAATAAGAGATATTAATGACTTAAGTTATACAATGACAAATATGATTTAAAAAAAAACAAAAAAAGAGAAGAAAAGTGTCAACTAAACTGAAATAGAATAGTTTCCAAAGGTATGATTACATAATTTTAGTTTTATAATACAAAATCAAAGATTTTTACAATACAACAAGCGCATTGAATATCAAGAAAAAGTAAAGGGTATAACAAAATAAAACAAATAGAGTAAGCTAATAAAGGAAACAAAGCAGTCTAGATGAAGAGGCATTTTAAAGGGAGGAAAGTTATGTATCTATTGGTACAAAATAGGGGCATTATGGTAACTTAGTACAATAAAAAGGTGATGGGACCACATATTATCACTTTAATTTTCAGGTTTTAATTGTACCACTACAGTCATTTTAATACCATTACAACTACTATTATACCATTACACTCCAATGGCATAATTTTACAACCTAGTGGTACATATATTAGCTTCAAAAGTATACCACTGTAACAATTTTTAGTGTAATTTTAACTATTTATAGTACTATTATAATAACACTGATAAATTTCACATCTTAGTGGTACTAATGTTAATTTTTAATATATTTAAGAATTGTCATGTTATGTACCAACAAATACATAATATTCCTCATTTTCTACTTCCTCTTTAGATGAAGGGAACAAGCAAATTAGAGGGGACCATGTGGGCCAATAGATGACCAAAGAAGGAGTGAGAAAGAGAGAAAATGTGGGACCACATTAACCAACTACTCTGCACTTACGAGGTCACTGTCATTTGAAAACTTTTCAATACAATTGGAAGGATTTAGATTATTAATTCAACCAAGATTCTCATAAAAACCCCTCCATTATGTGAGAACTCTTCTATAAGTGAGAACACTCTCATGTATGTTCTAAATTTTTATTCATATGATCTAAATTTTAATTCAGGTTTTTAAATTACTCACGCGTTCTAAATCTAAAATCAGATGCTGTAAGTTATTACTCATGTAGATGTTGGTTCAGCTCCTCTTTACAAAATTATCACCACTAATATCCCTCAGTCTAAGTGTCATTGGAGAGTGTCTAATAATATCAGGAATGGTTGTTGGTACAAAGATGATATTAAGTATTTACTCGCATATCATATGTGCTCTCTAATCCTTAGCACTCCCCTCTCTATTGTTAATCCCTCTTCTTCACCAGATCACATAAGATGGCAACATCATTCTTCTGGAGTGTTTTCACTATTAAAACAACATATTTTCTCTCCACAAAGCCCACCCCCACCTCTCTACTTTTCCCTTTTAATTGGAAGTCTTTCTAGAAGATTAGGGTCCCTTTTAAATATAAAGTGTTCATGTGGAATTTTGTTCTCTCAATCATTCCCACAACTTTCCTTCTTGCTTCCAAAATTCCAAATTTTTATGGTACTTGCTCTAGGTGTCATACAAAAGCTGAGACTTTCATCCATCCCTTTAGTGACTGTCATACTTCTATTATTCTCTGGAAAATGATCTTCTATTAAAACCACCCCTTAAATTCAACTTTGTCATATTCATGAATTATGGCTAGGATGAATGGTTAAGTTTTAACTTCTCTCAAAATCCAAAATGGAAGTGTATCTTCCTTATGGGAATGTGGCATATATGGAAGCTAAGGAATGGTGTAATCTACAATGTTGAAATCTATAATTGTAACACTATTTTCAACAGATTTATTATAGATTATCTAATCATCACATTTGTTTTACAGGGAAATGCAAAAGGGAATGGTAAGCTTACTGATCATGCAGGCTAATCTGTTGTCAAGTCTCCCTCTTGGCGCCCCTCTAGGCCTGGTTTTATTAAGCTAAATACAGATGGATCTAGGAAATCTAGCACACTAGGAGGTGGTAGAGGAGTTTTTAGAACAGAGAAAAGAGAATGGTTTTTGGATATTCAAGCAAATATAATGCCCCATCTGCTCTAGCTGTAGAACTTTATGCTCCGAGGGAGGTTTGAATTATGCAAGAGCAATGCCACTCCAGTATTTGGAGGTGGAAACTAATGCAGAGGCCACTTGAAACTTGCTTAACAAGAAATCTGATCATATGCATCATGAACTTGCTGTTGTCATCATTGATGTTGCCAGATTACTCAAGAATAGAAGCATGGTGGTCATTCTTAGCCATATTCCAAGGGAACTTAATACTATAGCTTATTACTTAGGACAGAGTGCCATGAACATGGCTCCAGGACACAAACCTTAGTATGTGGTTCCTACAAGTGTTGTTGATGCTTATGAGGCTGATCTTGGAGCTCATGCTTCCCCCTCTACCTAATTTTTATTTGCTTTTGTTGTTTGAAAACTGGTTTATGTACTATAAACTTATTATGTGTTTATTTCAGTATGCTACTTTTGGTTTGAAGAATGCATTTTAGGTTTCAACATATCTTTGAACTTTAGGCTGTAATATTTTAAGGGTTATGCCCAAGTAATCTATGTTTCCATTTGTGTTACAAAAAACAAAAAAAAAAAAAAATCTAGAATAGGTGTTGTGGCTCATCGGTAAATGTGGAGATCTTAGTTTAGGGAGGTGCATGGTTCAATTCCAGGTTTTTTTTTTCCTATTTAATAATTCAAAGGTTTAGATCCTCCATCTTTTTTTTAAATATGTGCTCTATTTTCATGCTTGGCCTTATTAAAGTTAAGATACTCCCTTTATTGTTAAATATGTGCTCTTTTTTCATTTTTGGTCTTTTTTTTTAAAAAAAAATAAGTGTTTCATTCCTATATTTTGGAAGATTGTTACAATATTTTAATACTTTTATCCCCACCAATGGTCCCTCGACTTAATTTCATCTTTTAAACATATTTTCTATTCTCTCTCCCCTCTTTACAATAACCTATAAATACTTTTATCAGCGGCAGAACTAGGAATTTCAAATTGGGGGGACAAACGGACATCAATTAATTTGATAAAAATGTTGGAACACACAAATACTGAATAACTAAAGTTTTACAAATAAAAAAATCCAAAATACGGAGTACTTAGTTAAAAAAAAAAACACCAATATCATATTACCATTTCTAGGCTTATGGCTTTAGAATTTTTGAAGAACTCGAACATTAAATAATTAGCTAATCAAATGCACTTGTCATTATTAAATGCAAAACTATAATTAAATTATTCAAATAAATATAATAAATACATGTTTTAAAATATGTATCCCTACCTTATAAAAAGTACAAGATTACTTTTACGAATAGTGTGATGCCAATTATATCCTTCAAAATGTTTAATTACATATGTACCCTCATTAATATGTACAAGTTTTTTTTAATGAATAGTGTTTTGACAACTATACTATCTAAAATGTTTATTTTACTTATTTTCCCTCATTCATGATAATTATCTCTTTTTTTTTAACTCTTGAGAATAGTGCGTGGACATTTATACCCTATATATATTTGTTTATATATTTTCTCTCATTATGCTGCCAAGTGCCAATAACAACATTTGTGATGTAAGGCCAAATTGAAAAAAATTCCGGATATGACTAGCTATGGCACGCACGTTAGCTGCCCTAGTATATATAAATGTAGGGTGTAATTGTTTATATAAAATTTTAAGAAATATTATCTTACACATTAAAAAATAATAATAATAAATAAAAAAGTAAAATGGCTGCATCAATGATTGAACATTGATCTCTTGAATACAAGCTCACCTCATCACTCAACAAGAACACAACAATCTATTACTCTATACTAAAGTGAAATCTCTTGTGGAGGGTATTTTCCCTCCTAAACTCTACTTTCTTTCTTTTTTTTTTTTTTTTTTTTTTTTTTTTTTTTTTTTTTTTTTTTTTGTGAAGTATTGATTAGTCTAGGAAATT